TTTTTGTGGGCATCACTGGGCTCCTTAGTAACATTTATCATTGTTTTGTTGGGGTCAGGAACTGAGTTTCCATTTTCTTCATTTCCCACTGAATACTGTATTGAATCATTTTTTTTGAAGAGTATAGTTTCCATCCCTTCTTCTTCCCATTGCTCCACTTGGTGCTGTGCAACTATGTTCTTGATATGTTAGCTGGTGGTTTTAATTGCCTGTTTTCTTTCCCTTGATTTAGTTTTTGTATTGTGACTGACTTGGTTGTTGTCTAGGTTGATGTGCTCTTTCTGTCCATGGCCTGGAGGTTTAATTTAGCAATAACAAATTCACTGGTTCAATGCCAGACCAGTTGTTTACATATTATATAGCAAACCCCTTGGTGATAATATCTATATACAGTGAGAGTTGGGTGGTAATGGTTGTTTGGTTAAAAATTGAAACTTGGGTAATTAGTAAAGATGGCATTAAAATGGGGGACAGAAAGAGGAGGAGTGGGTGGGAGAAGAGGTATGTAGGCTGCTGGGTTTTGTGGCCCTTATGTGTGTTAGGGTGCATTTCCACTGCTGTCATGGAAGGTGCTTGTGTCAGGAATTGCAGGGGCCTGGGCTTGTGTATGGTTGGTACAGTAGGCTAGTCAGTGGGTAGTGAGTGTGTAGGATGAAGAGGTAGTGTGGTGAGAGGTTAGAGAAGGATATGAGGGGGAGGCAAAGACAGGGTGAGAATGTGGATGAAAGGGGCAGAAAGAGTAGTTGGGAGGGAGAACAATGGATTGTAGCATAAGAAAAGGAGGAAAGTGATGGTAGTAAGAATAAGGATAAGAAAATAGTGATGGTGAAGTTAATAATACAAAAAAAAAAAGAAAAGAACCAGGTACAGCAACAACAAAATTTTCAGTCTGCTCAGTAAGAATTCTGGACTTACTCTTCTGGCTTCCAATCCTGGTATTGGTCCTTGGTATTCTGGACTTTATGGGGGAGGGTTCTGCCCCTCTTGTCAGACACCTTGGGGTAGAATTTGCTAGAGGGTTTTTTTTTTTCTTTTTTTTCCACTTTCCTTGGTCTTATGGGACATCCATTGCAAGTGGGAGCTCTGAAGTGGTCTTATGAGGTGACTGACTTTTGAGCAGTATTTGGATCCTTCTGTCCACAGTGCAGATTGTGATTGGGACCTGAGGTAACTCACTGTTGGATCTGCAGATTTGGGAGGCTTTGAAACCAGCGGTGGGGAGAAATGGCATGCCACTTTTCTCAAGGCAGACACTTCCTAAGACTTGGTTTAGTGCCAGTGGGGCACAGGGAGGCACTAAACCTCCCTGGATGGAGGAAAGCAGGATGTAGCAGAGTTTGATTCTGGTCAGTGCTCTATCTTCTGCTTATTGAAATAAAGAAAAAAAAAAGGGAGAACCAGCCAGGGGGCTTTTTTCCCAGGGCAGACACACCCTGTTGGCTGTGCCATACCTGGATTTTTCCAGCTGTTAGGTGTAGTTAAAGGCTGATTTGAGGGTCAGTCCTTGAATTTTATGTGCACTTAATATGTTGGCAGTTATTAGTTTGTCTGGAAGCAATCCAAATTATTGAAGTGTAGTTCCCATGTCTTGAGGAGGGTTCTGGAGCCACAGAGCTTAAGAATACCGATTCCCTACTCTAACCACCATCTTGCATCTTGACCCCTATTACTTTTAAATGTAAAGAAATTTGAGAGAAAAAGTATGAAAGTCACAGTTACACAGTATAAAAAAAATGTGCTTTTCCCCATAAAAAAAAAATTGCAAGAACTTGCATTTCTTTGAATGATAGCTATCTCCTGTTGGAAATTTCTAGATGTTCCACTGTTCTTTCTTCCTTTCTATCCCCTTGTGGAGGTGGTGAAAGACAGAACTTTCTGGTGGTCTTCACAACTGTTTTGTACTCCCAAGACTTCTCTTTAAGGATCCTAAAATTTTCTCTTTTTTTTTTCTCTGTCTCACAAGTCGTCCTGACAAATGGTACAGGACTATGGGTGCAGTACACATCTTAAGTCTTTATTTACAGGATTACACTGCATCTACCGAGGTATTTATTTGGGATAAACATTCATTTTAACTCATAATGCTGTATGTATTAATCTAAATTTCAGAGAAACATGTGACTCCCATTCTAAAACCAACTTAGTTAGAAGTTTGAATGTCTGGCAGAAGATACAACTCCTAGAATTGTTTCTGTAATTCACAGGACTACTCCCCATCTATCTTGGTTTTTGATTGGGAGAAACATCCATCTTGCTCATAATCCTATATTATGCTGAAGTTTACAGAAACATTTAGCTCCCATTCTAAAACCAACTTAGTTAAAAGGTTGAACTTCTACCAATAGGTTCAACTCCTGGAATTGAGACATATTTCACAGGATTACTCCCTATATAACATGATTTTTGTTTGGAGGAAACATTCATTTTAGCTCATAGTGTTATATGTATCATTCTGACTTTCTTAGAAATATGCAACTCCCATTCCTTAACCAACTTAGCTAAAAGGCTGAATGTCTGGCAGTAGGTTCAACTCCTGGATTGGAGCCTGTATTTCAAAGGATTGCCCCTCATTTATCACTGTTTTTAATTGGAAGAAACATTAATTTTAGCTCATAATGCTGCATTATGCTGAATTTCATAGAAACATGTAGCTCTCATTCTTTAACCTACCTAGATGGAAGGTTGAATATCTGGGAGTAATATCAAGTCCTGGAACTAAGTCCATATTTCACTGGATTACCCCTCATCTAACACCATTTCTAGTTGGGGAAACACTCACTTTAGCTCATAATGCTGTATGCCTTATTCTGAATTTCATAGAAACATGCAACTCCCATTCTAAAACCAACTTAGGAGGTTGAATGTCTGAAAGTAAGTTTAACTCCTGGAATTGAGTCTGTCTTTCTCAGGATTACACACTATCTATCATGGTTTTTGATTGGGTGAAACATACATTTTAGCACTTTATGCTGTATTATGCAAAATTTCATAAGAACATATACTCCCATACTGTCAGTATTAGGTAACAATTTGCTGTTTATACTTTTCAGTTTTGTTCAGGGTGGAATTCAATCTGCCCAGGGGCTGCACTGGATTATGTTCCAGGGGGCTAGGTAGGGAAGTTGTGTGTAGTGTGTGTTGCTCACCAGTTGGTTCTGCAGATTTACACAGGCAGCTTTCAAACTGACCAGTGGAGAGAAATGGTATGCCACTTTTCTTAAGGCAAACACCTACTGGGACTGGGTTCAGCATGGTGGGGCATAGGGAGGCTTTCCACAGGTTAGGTGTCCAGGATGTCTCAGGGTCTTCTGCTTTTTGAATAAAAGGAAAGAAAAGGGAGAAATGGCCAGGGGGCTTTTTTCCTAGGGCAGACAAACCCTGTTGGGTTGTGCCATGCTGGGTTTTTCCCAACTATTAAGTACAATTAAAAGCTATTTTAAGAATGTGGTATCTATACACAATGGAATTTTATGCAGCTATGAAGAAGAACCAAATGTTATCATTCGCTGATAAATGGATGGAATTGGAGAACATCATTTTGAGTGAGGTTAGCCTGGCCCAAAAGACCAAAAACCATATGTTCTCCCTCATATGCGGACTTTAGATCAAGGGCAAATACAACAAGGGGATTGAACTTTGATCACAAGATAAAAGCGAGAGCACACAAGGGAGATATGAGGATAGGTAAGACACCTAAAAAATTAGTTAGCATTTGTCGCCCTCAACACAGAGAAACTAAGGCAGATACCTTAAAAGCAACTGAGGCCAATAGGAGAAGGGGACCAGGAACTAGAGAAAAGGTTAGATCAAAAAGAATTAACCTAGAAGGTAACACACATGCACAGGAAATTAATGTGAGTCAACTCCCTGTATAGCTATCCTTATCTCAACTAGCAAAAACCCTTGTTCCTTCCTATTATTGCTTATGCTCTCTCTTCAACAAAATTAGAGATAAGGGCAAAATAGTTTCTGCCGGGTATGGAGGGGGTGAGGGGGAGAGGGAGGGGGCAGGGTGGGTGGTAAGGCAGGGGGTGGGAGTAGGGGGGGAAATGACCCAAGCATTGTATACACATATGAATAATAAATAAATAAATAAAATAAAAGCTATTTTAAGGGTCAGTCCTTGAATTTTATGTGCACCTAATGTGCTGGTGGCTATTATTTTGGCTAGAAACAATCAGAATTACCCAAGTGTAGCTATCCCATCTCAAAGTGATTTCTGGAGTTATGGAGCTCAGGAATTCTGATTCCCCACCCTATCCACCATCTTGGAGCTCCCAGCTGCTACTTTTAAATGGCTACCCAAGAGTCCAAGGACACCAACAAGTTCAACCTAAACATGTAAAAGTAAACCAAGAGTGGCATAATTGCTTCTTTGGAAAGAGAAATTTTCAAGGACAAAACTGTTCCCCAAAATGTCAAAAGCTTCAAAATTTTTCATTCATTTCTTCATTCCTTTATTTTCATTAATATTTACTGGACTCTTAGTATATTCCAGGCCCTAGTTATGTCCAGTTGCTAAGCAAAATCAACCCTGTCCTCAGATGGATTACCATTTAATCAAGTAGAATAACTTTAAATAAAGGACCTAAGAAATGTTATGTATTACTTGAAAATGTGGTGTCATATTAGGATGTAAGTGCTAGAAAAGGTTCCCTGGGTGTAATAATTAGGAAGTTATTTGCATCTTTTGTGCTGTTTGCCTTAATGGAAAGAAGTGAAATTGCCACCACACTTCCATGAGCTAAAAATGAATGTAAGGAAAAGATGTGGAATAGAGCAATGTAGGTGACTCTATGAGAATCTCAACTATGACAAACAGTAGGGCAATAACTACAAGAAAAAATCCATAGAAGTTTTTTTGTTTTAATGGGTAAGAGGGTGGCACATAGTTTAGACTAAGGTTGGAAGAAACCAGTAGAGAGAAATAACTATAAAGAAAAAAATGAGAAAATAATTCATGAAGTTGGCTAAAATTAATTAAATTTTATATATTGCAGGTAGATTCAAATGAGCTAAAGAGACATTACAGAACTTCTACAAAATTTCAGGTAGGTGACTCACAAAATAATTTCAAACCTGTTCAAGTAACCCATTACTATTTTTACTTTAAGTTGCATTTCTACAAATGACTCATCTTCCTTTATAACAAAGTTCATACAGAGGAGGTTTTATTGGACAAAGGCAGACCTGAAGCATTTTTTTTGTTTGGGGGGGTTGGGGGTGGCTCCCCCTTTGGTTGTAGGCAGCTCAGACTGACTTCAAACTCATTATATTGTGCAGATGGCCTCAAACTCACCCTCCCAACTGGGTCTAGGTGTGAGCCACCACATTTGGTTCAAGACCTGAAGTTATCATTTCTCAATAACTTTATAATATATTCCCCTGTATGTGCAAACGGGTAATTCAATATATGGTTCTTTATTAAGCAGATCAAACTAAGTGCCCATTTAAATTCTATGTTAAAACATCAGTAAAGGAGTATGTCTTGTTTTGGTTACAGAATCCTAGTCTCCAATTCCTGTAGACTAATGATGTAAGAGTCTGAAAAATTATTTGAACTATCTAAAAAACATCCTTTTCTCATCTTATGTTTTATCACCATAAAATGATAAAGTGTAAAGAGGAAATGCAAAAGACAAGAAAGTAGACTGGCAGAGTGACTCAAGTGGTAGAGCACCTGCCTAGCAAACATGAGAACTTGGGTTCAACCCCAGTACTGAAAAAAAAAGACAAGAATTTACTGTTTATGAATGCTCCTTTTCTTCTTCACTCTGAAAAATAAGCAGAGATTGGAGATGATCCAAGATTACCCAGTCTGGATGCAAGAACTCCAGCCTCCTGCTGCAAGGACAGTAATTTCATCACTTCAAATTTTGTTTAAAAACTCTGGATTTAGGTCCCAAATTGTCCCTATTAGATAGGTAACTTAAGTATTTATATGTACCCTATATTTCAAGACCACATAAAATTTAATGAAAATAAATAACCTATTTTATATTAAATAATTTCTTGCTATTGCAAGCAGGAAAGTATTACAACAATGATGTTGTCATTTCATAATTACCAAGGTAAGAGAAGATCAGAATAATGTAAACATATGACAAGTTTTAAAATTTGTTACTGTAATAGCATAGTACTTTCAACATCTTCTCCTATCAGAGCTTCTAGTTACAGAACTGATTCTTCCTTCTCTCTCTTAGCCTGCACAGTGTCTGGATAAAAACCTACATTGCAGTAAATTGATAGCAAAATGGTGCTACATAGCAGGAGAAAGCACTGGAGAACCTAGATCAGTCACACCAATCTGATCCACTCTGAATGCTGGAGAATCATCTGAACCCAAAATATATTACTGCAATGAATGTGCAATGGTTTCAAAGAAAATCACAAGTTGGTTTGATTTTTAGTTCCAAAGTCTCATATTTAAAAGACTATTAAAATGTATTTTAATATTAGCACCCAGACCATCACTGAATTATATGAGCAAGCTCAGCAAAAATTTCAGCAAAGGCAGTGCCTAGGGAGTGATCAGATGCATGAGGTGGGAATGAAATACATTGGAAGTTGGCTACAAAATAGTGTGCTTGTTTTCATGGCACTGGTTTACCTTTCAATGGCATCATGCATATTTAACTAAAGGCAATATTAGATTAAGCAATAAATAATTCATTGTGGCTGGTCAATTTTTACACACATTGGTATAAATATGGTCAATGCCCAAAAAAGCATGTAAACACAATATAATAATAAATACATTCTTCCAACAGTTGGATATTGCATCAGTAATACCATTTGATGTTTTCTACCTCTTCTTTGGGTTTAATCCAATATTTAGAGCAAATAGGATATTAAAGGTAAGAAAACTACATTTAACTACCTTCTCCTTACAATAATGGAAAAATTGAAGCAACTTAAAATATTCTAAAATTACCAATGTTCTTATTTTTTTCAAGCTGTCTTCCATTTTTCTGCCCTTATCAATGATATGGTTTTTTAATGGGTAAAGGAATGTCATTGTTTCTACTGATGGAAATTGTTTCTGGTTGCTTGTATGTTATATGTCAAAACAGGTATTTTTATAACCTAAAATAGCAATACTGCTGTACTTCGAAATATAACTATGATTACAAATGAATCTTTTATAACTTTTTTCCATTTGCTCTTTTTTTTAATCAAACAATTACTTAATGCCTGAAATAGGAACTATAAAATGAGAGATTTAGGCTAGGTTTCCTTTAAGTTATCTTACACATATAAAATTCTACAATCCTAGAAAAAATGTAAACATATTTTTGCATCACAAAATTACATACATGCTTGGATATCACTAAAATGTTTACCAAAAGGGAAGTAGTTAAAAGTACATGTATTTTGTAGATTTTTTAAAAATTAATAAAGAGGCCAAGTACAGTCATAAGTAAGCTCATGCCTGTAATCCCAGCTACTTGAAAGGCAGAGATTGGGAAGATTGCAATTGGAGGTCAGCCCAAGCAAAAAGCCAGCATGACTGAATCTCAACAACAAAAATTCCCAAAAACCTGGGCATTGTAGCATGCATCTGTCATGTGTAAGTGGGAGGAACTAAGTCCAGGCCCCCATAAAGCAAGAAAGGTTGGTGTGGTACGGCACCTGTCTAGCAAGTACAAGGCTCTAAGTACAAACCCCAGTACCATTTTAAAAAATGATATATAAAAAGGAAATCTTTCTCTTTTTCTTTTTAGACAAGGTTTCACTGTGTAACTTACATTGGTCTTGAGCTTGTGGTCCTCCTTCCTTAGTCTCCCAAGTGCTGGGACTACAGCATTGCACCACCACACCCAGCAAGACGAAATTTTCTGTCTACTAAATATGAACAGACCTCCAAGATAAACTGCTAAATAAAAAGGGATTAAAAAGCTAGATACAGAACAGTTTACAGACCAATGCTAATTTCTATAATACAAAAAGAAAAAGTATGAAAATTTTCTGTATTTGCATTAATACCAAAAGACTACAAAGAAAGAAAAAACTAATAAAAGTGGGAAAAAGAAGAAAGAGGGAAAATAAGGATGGATGGAGTAAGCATGACCAAGAGTTTTGAACGCATGTATTTCATATTGATTTTGAACTATGTAAATGTATTACCTACTCAAAAAGATTCTAAATCATGAATATTTCATAGTTCATAACTTTATTGGGTACCTAAATTTGAGACGAATCAGAGTTTGAAATTTCATATAAAATTTTAAGAATAGCAATGATAAATTATGAAATTTGGTTGATTATCTTTTTTGCACTTTGAGGAGATAAGATAGTATAATCTGGTGACACTGGTGGACCCTAACCACAAGAATAACAGTAGCTCTCATTCCTTTAGTCTACTCTTGGGGCTACATACTTCACTAAACTTTGAGTCATTTATCTCATCTATCCCTACCAACAACTTCATTGTAGAGATGAAGAGAGCGGGAATTAGCATAGTGAAAATACCTGTTTAGATACACGGTTGGTTGGGGGGCAGTATCTGGACTCTATCACAACTTTATCTGTCTCCAGATTCTCTTCTGTAATTGGATTGGCAGATAAACATCAGGTAGAAAAGGGCTTCCCTTCCATGCTCACGATTTCTCCAAGTTAAAAGTGTCTTTACTCCATATATCCACACACCCAACACAACTCTAGCAGCTTCTGGTTTGACTTAGATGTGAGTACAGATTGAGACAGAACACACATTACAAGGGTAACAAGGATCAAGCCATCCCTCATCAAATTTCTGGTCTCACATGGAAGTTACAGGAGGCACTTGCTCAATATAACCAATTTTTTAGAAAAACCAGTTCCTATGGATCAAAGAGTTGACTGACATTATAATAAAAGTTTATGAAATGCTAAGTCTTCACAAGCCATTTCTATAGATTTAAGATGTTGGAGAGCAGGGTTTTTTAAATATTGGAAATAATGAAAGTCAACATTGATTTTTCATCATTGATAAGGCTTTCTTAGCCTTATATTCCTATAATTCACTTGTTTATAAGGGTATTATTTGAGTGGGCAATTCTCCAGGATAAATATTTATCATTTATCTGTCTTCAAGTTACAAATAGGAAAACAAAATAAGAATGATAAATTTTCTCTTAGGCTAAATTTTAAATATTGCCCCTTTGTACAAACTTCTATTAAGAGAACAGTAAACAAGTTACCACATCCTGAAATTATTATAATCAGAGTATTTGAGGGATATTTTCTTACTCAGGATTTTTATTTTTTTGTGAATACACTGTTCATAGCTTTATTCTGATGGCACCATCAGTGTTACCTTGTCCCCTTTGGTCTCCTGGACCCCTCTAGGATAATATCCAGAAGCAGAAGACAGTAAGAATGTATACTAAGGACTTTCCTGAGCTCTTCTCTGTTTTAATTCTCAATAGAAGTATGCTTTCATGGGAAATGAAATATGCTATACTCAACACCTTCCAACATTTACACACTGCTACAGATAATTCAATTCAGCAGTGTCTGTGAGATGTGGCACTGTGTGGGAAACAGATGTGTGACCCAACTTGCTGTCCTGAGGAAAGTTGGATCTTGTGGAGTTCTACTTCCACACCAAGGGCAGCCAGTCTGAGGAAACTGGCCCAGGGATGTGATCTCAGTAACTGGGTTAGAAAGCCCACCAAGGCACAAGTCCCTGGCTGCTGTGAAGGAGGAGGATCGTACACAGTGGGAGAGAGTCTGCATTGAGAAGTAGGTAGACAAGGGGATGTTCTTCATTCTGAAAGGAGTCAGAGTAAAATGGAGAGGTTTCCTCTTAACTTACTCAGGAATTTTAGAAAAGCGAATCATTTGTTATACTTCTAGTTTAAAAGTTATTGATAGTTCATATATTATCTTTAATCCCAAATGTTCTATTGCAGTCATTTCTAGATTGGATGAATTTTGAGCTAAGCAATCTCTAATGTCCCTTATGTCTACAAGATCCTACAATTCCAAATTCATTAAATAAATTAACTCGTTTGCACACAACTCTTTCAGGAGGCATGTCCTCTAGTTGTATGTTTTACAGATGAGGAAACCAAGATACAGAAGTAGTAAGAGACTTTTCCAAGGTCACACAGTAAGTGGCAGCATAGAACTGGCATTTGGTTCTGGGATTCATGGTTTTAGTACTGTGTTACAATGCATACAGTAATGAAGGAGGAAGAGGAGAGGAGGGGCAAGAAAGCATGGAGGCAGTAAGAGCTGAGATAAAAATAGAAATAAGCAGGAAAGAACCTAGAGGGAAATGGCAACTCTGGATTACATCATATCAACTCATTGTACCTTTGGATAACGTCAACAGCTAGCTGATGCCAACACTTACTGGACTTCCAATTTTGTCAAAATAAATGTCTACTGGATCTTGCTTAAAAACATGCTAATGTTGAGCAATATGATGTTTCTATCTATGACTTCAACGTATGACATTATACTTTTGCTCTTTTACTTAAGTTTGGGGGAGTGCGATTTTAATTATTGTGAAATAGAGTTCTATCGCACACTTTGAAAAAGACAGTATGATTGATTTTCAACAATCACTACAAATAAGATTATAACTAGAAGGTAGAAGTAAATAAATCAAGAAACGCTAGAGGTTTGGCAGTATGCTGCCCAGAGGAAAATACCACTGCACGGGACCTCAACTTTATAAAAGCATGCAGATACAATTACTGCCACCAAGAAATGATTTCTATTTTACATAGTTTTGTCTAAATAGATATTTCTGAAGCTAACATACTTTTGTATTTGTTTTGCTTATTTCCTACATAGTACTATTCATTTTTTGAGTTTAATCATCACCTAGAGTCTATAATGGACAAGGCACATGTCTACAGGTAACGTATCACCTTATATTTGCAAGAAATTGAGAAAGCAATGGTACATTTTAGTCAGCATTTGGGGGAAAATGGTCACCCTGTTCAAGACAAGTGATAATTTCAGATTTTGGCTAAATAAAGTATAAGGATATGATCTCAAGGAGATTTTGATATTTCAAGTGACATAAAGATATAAAAGTCAAAACAGATTTTAGAAAACACTGGAGTGAAAAATGAGACTCAATACCTCCTTCTTTCAAAGCAGTACAGATTAGCATGCTCTTTTGTAAGTCAACTTTTTATCTCTCTCATGCAATTCATTCACTCATAATCTAAAATTTCACTCTTTGCTGTATGAACTTCTCTTGCACAGAGACCTCTAGTCACAGTTCATCGCAGCATCAAGTCCCATGAGATTTTCAGAGATATCCAGTTAAATCAGCATGGCATATTTTATGTGACTCAAAAATCAAGAGATGACCCTTGAGGCATGTCTTTCACAGAGTTGACTCATACCATCTGTGAAAAGAAAGGAAAAATAAAATTTTTACACTCTGTCAGTCCCAGTCAAGACACTGCAGCCAGACTACATGCAGTGGTACCATCACTTTCTACTGTACTAATGAGAGTTAGCAGTTGGCAAATCTAAAACAAGGGGATTCAGTGGAGACTTAGAGCAAAAGAAAAAAATGTTCAAGTAGGCTGTATTCCAGAAACCACATGAATCCTTCCTTTGCATTTATTCTCCCTGACAGAGTCATTCGAACAATTGGATACTTGCTGTTTATTTTGCACATTAATGCCTGTATTTATTACTGGGCCTCCAACTATGAAGGAATTGGCACAACTAAATGGGTATATAATGGCAAAGGAAACAAGTAAGTTGTAATTTTGAAAGAAACTTTTATTTATTCCTCTTAATTTTCTGTTTCAGTGTGTGAATTTTATTAAATCAATGTTTTTTTAACTATTGGTTACTATCAATTCATAGACCATAAAACCTCTTTAGTATGTAACAGTGTTTTTAAGTGACTATGAGTATAGAATAGAAAATATCAAAGTCTGTCTGATAGTTGGGGTGTGTTTGTGTGTGTGTGTGTGTGTGTGTGTGTGTGTGTGTGTGTGTGTGTGTATGTCCTGGGTTGGCCTGTGATATGTATTTCTTACTCTAGGTGATTATCAAAAAAGTTTGGAAGCATCTGCTTTAGATAACTGAGTAGTAAGGCAATTTTTAATAACTCTAATACTGATTGTTAGTAAAGAACAATGTTAATTTAGAGGGCAGGTGCAGTGGCTAATTAGTTTACTACTGAAGGGTTTTATGGGTTTATGAGTCAGCTATAACCACAAACAAAGAGTAGCAAGGAATATAAATAAAACTTGACAATTAGGTTTATGCAAGTATCCCAGGAATAAAAGAGATCATTTGGAAACTTTAGTGCAAAAAAATCAGGACTCAGTAATGGCAACTGGGATATTTAACAGCAAATTTTCCTTTAGGTAGATACAAGCGCCTGATATAAGTTGACTACACTATCTTTCTGCTCCAGTGAAATATCATTGAACAGATTGTAAGATGATTTCCCTACTGGAAAAAAGGATGCCCCAGCATTGCTCTGAAGGGCAACACACAGCAGACTTCGGATGAAGAAAACATATACCATACAGCAAAGAAAGCAAAAATATCTTATAAAATTACACACTAGCTAGAAGAAGTTGGATATGTGAAAAGGATTATAACATTTTTTGAACTTTTAACCAGAACTGATTTCATAAAACTTATAGTCTGAAGGCCCACTGATTGTGAAGACATACACAAAGGAAATCTAGTTCTGAATCACCAACCCTTTAAGTTCATAACCAAATTTGATTAAAAAGTAATTATCTTTAGAACATGAATTAGCTTATGTATGCATTTATTTTGATACAAATAATTTTAGAAAATAAATTACACATTCATCACTATAGCTAAAATTTTAAAGGTTGATATTGCCAAGTTTTGTGATAAGACTGATATGTTAGAGTTTTTGTCGTTGTGACAAATACCTGACAGAAACAACTTAATGGAGATAAGGTTTATTTTGGCTCATAGTTTCTGAAGTTTCAGGCTATGGTAGACTGACTCCATTACTGTGGGCCCAAGATGAGGCAGAATATCATGGCAGCTGGAGGGAGTTGGTAGGAGGCTGTTCACCTCATGGTAGCCAGGAAGCAGGGAGAGAGAAAAATACCTACTACCGGGCTCTCTTCTTTTTCCCCTTTTATTCCATCCAGTCTCTGGTGCCATCCACATTCAATCCAAGTCATCCCTCCTTATTTAATCCTCTCTTGAAACACCCTCACAGACATATCCACAGGGACACTTTACTGATCTTTTAGGTACTTCTCAACCCAGTCAAGTTGATAAGCAAGATTAACCATCATAACTGACAACATCAATTGTTGTAATCTACTAAATCTCTCATACATTGGCAGGAAAGCAAAATGGTACAACAATTCTGGGAAAGATCAGGCATTTACTTTTCAAACTAAACCTGTATGCACCTTACAACTCAAAAATTCCAAACCTAGATATTTACCCAAGAAAATTTAAAATACATATCCAGAGAAAAAGCTTGTATAAGAATATTCATAGAAGCTCTGTTCATAACCAAAAAACTTAAAAAAGCCTAGATATTCTTTCATAAATGAATAGATTTTTTTAAACAGTACTATATACCTATAAAAGATACTACTCAGCAATATAATGGAACAAATTACTGATACACAACATGAATAACTCTCAAAACCATTATGCTGACTGAAAGATCTCTTACACAAAAGTGTCTATACTGTGCGGTTTCATTTATGTGATAGAAAAAACTCAGAACAGTGGCTGCCTCTTGAGCACTGGGGATAAGGACTTACTAGGAAAAGGACCAAGAGAAGTTTCTGACGTTATGGTAATATTTTGTATCTTGATAGGTGTTTGGTTTACACAGGCATTTGTCAAAAAATTCATCAAATGATACAAAAATCAGTATCATCTTATACTAATTATCCAAAAAGGAAATTTTAAAATGATCCTATTTACAAAACTATCAAAAGAAACAAAATGCTAAGAGGTCCAAAACTTACATGTGAAAAACTATAAAATAAAAATGAAAGAAATTAAAGCAGGAGCAAATAAATGGCAAGACATCTGTGTTCATAGATTAGAATAATTAATATTATTAACATATTCAAAATACCAAAGAGATCTACAGAATTGATGCAAACCCTGTCAAAACCCCAAAGGCAGACCAGGAACTAGAGAAAAGGTTAGTTTGAGAAGAATTAATTTAGAATGTAACACCTATGTACAGGAAAGCAATGCAAGTAAAATCCCTGTATAGCTATCCTTATCTCAACTAGCAAAAACCCTTGGTCCTTCCTATTATTGCTTATACTCTCTCTTCAACAAAACTAGAGATAAGGGCAAAATAGTTTCTCCCTGGTAGCCATGGGGAAAGATAGTCTCTTCAATAAATGGTGCTGGGAAAACTACATGTCAACATGCAAAAGAAAAAGTAGACCATTGTCTTATATCATACACAAAAAATAAGCTCTAATGGTTTAAAGATATAAATGTAAGACTTTAAACTATTAAGCTGCTAGAAGAAAACATATGAGAAATGTTTCATGACCTTGGTCTGGGTAATGACCCCAAAAACACAGGTAGCAAAAGCAAATATAGACAAGTGGGTTTACACTACTCTATAAAGCTCTGCCCTGCAAAGGAAACAACTACAAAAGAAGATATATGAATGAATGGTCAAAAAGTATATGAAAAGGTGCTCAACAGAATTAATTATCAGGGAAGTGCAAATCAAAACCAAAAAGAGGTATCATCTCAACCTAGTTAAAATGGCTGTAATAAAAAAGACAAGGATATGGAGAAAAAGGGACTATCCTATACTTTTGGTGGGATTGTAAATTAGTATAGCCATAATGAAAGAAAGTATGGAGGTGTCTTACAGAATAAAAATTGTCCTTTTGATTATAGCCAACCTAACTGGGTAAGATAATATCTCACGTGACTTTGATTTGCATTTCCCTGATGATTCATGTTATTGAACTTTTTTCATACACTTGTTCACCATTTGCATTGGCATGACTGGGGTTTGAACTCAGGATTATGCAAGCTAGTTTACCACTTGAGCTGCACCTTCTTTTGAGAGATGTCTATTCAGATTATTTACCTATTTTTATTCAAATTATTTGTCTCCTATTTTTGCTGGTGAGTTTTTTGAGTTCCTTTTATATTCAGAGAAGAGGAATTCCTGTTTTCACGGTAATTTTTTATAGCAAATTCCTCCTTATTGTTTTAACTTGGAGCAGTGTGTATATTTCATGTGCTACATAGTTCACAGATAGTCCATGTATTTAATCATTCAGATAAAATCTCCTTGAAAAGATCTATCTGCCCGGGGTGTAGATATTAGAGATGGACACTCTTGGCTAATTAAGCTAATCCTAGAAAATCAATATGATGCCATCTAATTAAATTACAAATCTTACCTTTGATTGTGCATGTCTGGGTATAGGACAAGACTGAGAAAAGAATCCAAAAATAAACCACAAAGCATCAGGGCAGAAAACTTCCAATTAACATCACATAATATTTAATACAAAAAAAAAGTTCAAGGATAACCCTTGAGATTTGGAAAATCAATACCAAAGTTTCACATTTTGCTGTTATTTTTAACACCTATAAATAAGAAAATGAAGGAAGGTAATTTGTGTGTTTGTTCCCGTTAACACTATAGTAACCTTGGAAGGGACAGGAATCCCAGAACACTTCTAATGGAACTGACAGTGTAGGGAGAAAATCTAGTCCCTGCCCATTTTGGAGCAAAAGTATGTTTAATAAATTTGCTTAATTTAAAGAGACCCACAGGTCCAGGACCTGTGACCAAAATAAATTAGGTAATAAGAACTTATAAATTTGAATTTGAAAAGTTAAAATGCAATCCATAAAATTACTTTCATAGTGCTTCAAGGTGGTTCTCTTTGACATCAATTTCACTTTAATATTAGTAAATCCAAGGAAGCCTGCTAGAAAAAAATTACACAGCGGTAATAACTTTTACTCTCACAGAACAGGGGTTTCAAACCCTACCAATGACTTAATTTTTTTTTCTGTTCCTATAGCCATTGGTTTAAAAAAAATAAAAAAAATCCATGCCCTTCAAAGGGTATTGAATTTTTAAATGAGTGATTTCTTTCTGTATCTGTCTTTATTTGAATGTTGACTTTAGTTTGTTTCATTCTTTGTAAACTCAACTTCTTAATATTTGCAGATCCTAAAATCACAAACCATTTTCACAAGAAAAAAGATTACCCTTGTTTAAAGATTAATACACAGTTATCTAAAGTGCTATTATTATAGATGACTCACTAGCATAAGAAATAAAAGCCTGACTAGGACAAGATTTTGTAAAAACTTCTTGTTTTCTGTGTCTACTATGAACACTGTAATAGATAGTTTGGACCTACTAAATCCAAATACCTCTCCATAAAATATTTGAAAATGGAGCTGGTGGAGTAGTTCAAGTGGTAGAGCACCTACCTAGCAAGTGCAAAGGCCTGAGTTTGAACCCTAGTACATCAAAAAAATAAATAAATAAATAACAAATTGAAGTTGTTCTTTATCCACAGGATTTTATTTTTAAGGATTCAAGAGGAATGTCTAACACAGGCTATAATCTCAGAACTAAATGGAGTATACCAACTGGTATACCTAATCGTGCACGAGAGCTGTAATATATGACTGTAACTATACAGTGGAGTTATAACAGTAACTTCCATTCCCACCTCACTATGGACTCCATGAGATCCATACACAAATGCAGCTAAATCAATACTCTGTCCTAATTATTGCCATATTCTTTTCTCTTCTTCTCTGTGTTATAGTGACCTAAGCCTCTTCATTTTCCAATTGTTCCAGCTAAGTACAGAATCCTTATCAAGTATCTTTCTGTGTATATTTGGTTTCTTCAATACTAAAGTTCTAGATAAATTACCTGTTACATCCAAGAGTAATTTCCCTATTACAATGTTGCTCAGTTTTTTTTGTCTCCACCATGGCTTGCATATTCAACAATACAACAAAATATGGGTGGAAACATAGTGAAGGTATCTCTTCTTTTTCAATCAGTATAAACAATTGGATCTGGACTATGAGGTTCTCTAGTCAGCATATACTTATCTCTATTATAGTCCCCCAAAGTTAATAGTGTGGTGGTTTGCTCTTCCTCAACTTGAGAAATGGATTCGAATTTCTCTTCCCTTGAATCTGAGCTGACTTTAGTGATCTGCTTCACAAATAAAGTGTAATAAGAAATTAAGATGCTATAGAACTTCTGGGTTATAGGAAAGCTTCTTGCTACTTCCTGGGCTGCTTTGCTCCAGGGCAGATGCAATGTAAGGAATCTATCACCCCTGAGACTGCCATGTTATAAAGAAGTCCAAACTAGTCATGTTGGAGACATAAATGGAAAGGGAGATACCCAGCCATTCCCCGTTATTCCAACTATCCCAGACCAGGCTCTAGCATGTGAGAGAAGAAGCTACAAGCAGACATTCTGTAGAGAAGAACAGAGGAATCCCCCTAACAGTAAAACTCTAGGTTCTAGTCAAAAGGCCTCAGCCACATCCTCCCAGATATCTCTAACCATTCAAATCACTGCAGCTGAGGTACCACTCATCATGGAACATAGGTGGATCATCTCTTCTGGGTCTTGCACAAATTCCTCACCCACAAAATATGAGCTGACTAAAACGGTAGTTGTTTTGTATAACTAAATTTTGGGGAAAGCTAGTAAAAGCCCTTCATGGGTTTTGCTTAGTCATTTCACATTGTTTGTTATGAAGTTTACATTAGTGTGTTTACCAGTGTTGCCTATATATAGAAAGATCTTGATTAAGAAAAAAAATGTTATTATTCAATAATAATCTATGTTCCCAAGCAAAATGGTTTTTCAGTGATATATAAAAAAGGAAAAATATATTTTCTCTTTTCATAGGTATCTGAGATGTTATTATTGGGCAGTTCGAACTTTAATTACCATTGGAGGCCTTCCAGAGCCACAAACCTCATTTGAAATTGTTTTCCAACTATTGAATTATTTTTCTGGAGTTTTCGTGTTCTCCAGCTTAATTGGTCAGGTAAGTTGAATGCGAATCCCTAGTTATACAATGTTTTGTTTTTGGAAGGCTAGCAAGTGTTTATAAATTTTATGGAAGAAAAATTGAAATCTTTCTATTTTTTCTCTTCCTCCTCCTCTTCCTTATTTTCCTCCTCCTCCTTCTTCCTTTATGACATTCCATCTATTTTAATGACATGAAGGAGAATATGATTGAGTCAACATTGTCTTTACATTTTTAAGCCATTACATCTATCAGAAGAGCTATTAGCAAAGTTCAGTAGTTTGGACTCTCAGAGAAAGTTATTTCTAAGTTAACTTCTTACCTGGAGCATCCTGAAAGCCCTTTAAAACTCTCTTATTTACTTAAACATCAAATGTTATCATAAAAACTCTGGCTTAAGAGGTCATTTAAATCAGAGACTATAAAATACCATCTTGAATAATTAATAAAGTGTTGTTTCATAGATGTTTGCTATGGCTTCTTGTCCTTAAAGAGATCACTGTCTAGTATGAAGGCAAATCAAGTACATAAATAGCTGTATTACCAGGTATTAGCATTTACAAGTAAAAGAATCCAAAATGTTTGTGAATTTTCAAGTCATAAGAAATGAAAAGTTCAACACATATGTCTTTAGAAGTTATACTTCTTTGGAAGGTACTTTACATACCACGTGCTAGAGAGCAAAAAGACCATGTTTAGACATGTGTACTATGTCACAAATGATTATTCCTACTAGAGAAATCATTGACTCCTTCTCACCACACTTACAGTAGTATGAATGAAACTCATTGATTCACAAATTTTAACAATAAAAACTCTTCACTAGAATATCTGATATTCCTCATATCTGCTAGTCCTCAAAAACGCTCAGAATTCAAACATTATACTCAAGCATCTGGTAATCACAAGACAAGTCTGGAAGCTTTTATTGGTCAGAAAAGGGAAGCCTCCCAGGAGGTATTATGGAGCAGGATGCACTTGAACCAGGTAGTAGTCAGTATATCTACACAGGTATTTCAATTGAACAGAAAAAAAAATGTCATCAACAAAGCATTTTTGCTAATTGATCAGAAAAGATGTCTGTGACAAACATGAGAAATGTTTGAAGAATTGGACAGAGTCCAGAATGATTGGAGTGAAGGACATTTGTAAATAAGAGATGGTTTTAAGGATAAGCTATTTCAAGGGCTGTTGATATTAAATGAAAGGATATTAAACTTTATCATAAAGACATGAGAAGCCAGGCAGGGGAGGATTTTGAAGAAGGAGATTCAAGGAAGACCAATTAAAATAAAATATGAATTGGAAGGAATGATACTGTTTTAAAATATAGGTTTTACTATTATTTAGGTATGATAAAGCTACCAGATCAGGGGACAACTGTCATTGAAAAGGTTCTAGTTCAGCAAGCTCCTAGACATCCGCGTAGAATAATACAGAAAATAGAAATTTTGTTAACATACATACACAAGGAAATGGCAACTCCAGCCTGAACATGTTAATGGACTAGGGAGGGAGGCCATAAAGAAAATTCCATTTAGAAAATATTGTGTTAGAACACAAACATCAAGCAGTTAAAAGCTGCAAGTACAAAATACCATAATCTTTGTGGCTAGGGAAATTGTGTTGAAATTGAAACATTCAATATAAATCAATTTGGATATAAATGGAAAATTTCACATTATTTCTCAATTTCTTATATAATCATTGTGATCTAGTCACACCACATTCATTGTTTTCTCAGTTTCATGATGAGGAAAATTTAGTTTAAGAAAATTAAGAGGTATCTGTAATTCATACACGGAATTCATACAGTCATGTGATAACCATATGTAATAATATTGATAGCAATAATAAAATCTAATACTTACTGAGCACTTACAATGTCCAAGGCAATCTTCACAAGACCAAGAAGTGGTACCTGCTTGGCACCCACTCAATTCTCTTGCTACTTAAAATGTAGTTTTTGAACTAGTGGCAGGCACATCATGAGAAATTCAAAACTCAATGCCCTACTTCAGACATACTGCATCAGAACCTGCATTTTAATAAGATCTTTGTGTGATTCTCATGAGCATGAAAGTTTGAAAAATGCTGCTTTTTGTACCACACACACACTTGCCTTTGGATTTGAGCTTCCACCTAGAACAAGAAGAAAAATCCAGTCACTGAAAATATGGTATTAGAGCACAAGAGAAATTTAGAAGCTAGAGAAACAGATTTGTACCTTAAACTCTAATAAAAGATGCAACTATACATCAGACAAAGGACTGATAACCAGAATATATAGGGAACTTAAAAAACTAAATTCTCCCAAAACTAATGAACCAATAAAGAAATGGGCAAGTGAACTAAACAGAACTTTCTCAAAAGAAGAAATTCAAATGGCCAGAAAACACATGAAAAAATGCTCACCATCTCTAGCAATAAAGGAAATGCAAATTAAAACCACGCTAAGATTCCACCTCACCCCTGTTAGAATAGCCATCATCAGCAACACCACCAACAACAGGTGTTGGCGAGGATGCGGGGAAAAAGGAACCCTCTTACACTGTTGGTGGGAATGTAGACTAGTACAACCACTCTGGAAAAAAATTTGGAGGCTACTTAAAAAGCTAGACATCGATCTACCATTTGATCCAGCAATACCACTCCCTGGGGATATACCCAAAAGACTGTTACTCCAGAGGCACCTGCACATCCATGTTTATTGCGGCACTATTCACAATAGCCAAGTTATGGAAACAGCCAAGATGCCCTACCACTGACGAATGGATTAAGAAAATGTGGTATCTATACACAATGGAATTTTATGCAGCCATGAAGAAGAACGAAATGTTATCATTCGCTGGTAAATGGATGGAACTAGAGAACATCATTCTGAGTGAGGATAGCCTGGCCCAAAAGACCAAAAATCGTATGTTCTCCCTCATATGTGGACATTAGATCAAGGGTAAACACAACAATGGGATTGGACTTTGAGCACATGATAAAAGCGAGAGCACACAAGGGAGGGGTGAGGATAGGTAAGACACTTAAAAAATTAGCTAGCATTTGTTGCCCTTAATGCAGAGAAACTAAAGCAGATACCTTAAAGCAACTGAGGCCAATAGGAAAAGGGGAACAGGTACTAGAGAAAAGGTTAGATCAAAAAGAATTAACCTAGAAGGTAACACCCACGCACAGGAAATCAATGTGAGTCAATGCCCTATATAGCTATCCTTATCTCAACCAGCAAAAACCCTTGTTCCTTCCTATTATTGCTTATACTCTCTCTACAAAAAAAATTAGAAATAAGGGCAAAATAGTTTCTGCTGGGTATTGAGGCGGGGGAAGAGGGAGGGGGCGGAGTGGGTGGTAAGGGAGGGGGTGGGGGCAGGGGGGAGAAATGAACCAAGCCTTGTGTGCACATATGAATAATAAAAGAAAAAGGAAAAAAAAAGATGCTAAGAAGAATAGGTAGAAATAAAAGCAAGAGAGCCTAGAACAAAAATCTCCATTTGCTAAGTGGAGGGAGAAAGAGGACTAAGGGAACATAATAGAGGGGATAATAGAGGGGGTGAGCTTATTCAAAGTGCACTGTACACATTGATGGACTATCACAATGAAATCCTCTCGTAATAGTAACGTATGTTAATAAAAATAGTAAAAAAAAAACCCTATTGTTATTAAAAACTCCGCATTTACTTAAATTCCACATATAGCCATACCCCAAAACTAATCATCACTTTTTAACTTCAATATTCTTTTCTCTAATGCAACACAATAGAGCCCAACACTTTAACTCTCATACCCTCATGGGTTTCCTTAAGCTGGAATCTGTCATAAAATACAAGACTTTCTCAACTCTTATACCAACAAAATCCAGCGTTGTTGAAGGATAGCACTTAAGTGATTCCCATTAATGTCACTACAAATTCTTAGGCCCTCAACACCAGTCAGAAATGCTTTTAAGTTGTCCTTGGTTCCTAACTAACACGCTATTAAATCTCCCAACCCAACCCCTAACATCCCAAGTCTCCTGGTGTTAGATGATCAGTAATGTTAGTCACCTGCCAAGACTGATATAGAAGAAAGAGATCTTAGGAACTGAGGCTGTGGAAGACTATTTGGGAAAGCCATTGAGAAGTAAGAGACTCAGAAAGATGGATACAGTTGGACTGTCTATATAGTGCCTCAGCAGATACTTTTGAAAGGGAGAACTTATTTAAAATGGGAAACTGTGGAAAAGAATCGCAATAAAAGGCATAATGTGAGCTAGACTCCAAACAATGACTAGTCGTTTCCAAAAGTAGAAAAGGCTCTACCTACTAGAATGAATGAGCAACGGCTTAGCGTGAAAGTAAGACCCTAGCTTGCTCCTATTATAAACCCACAGTCAAAGAGAATTTACAACCACTTGCTTCCCTCTATGTGAGAGGAAGAGTTGAGCAATATATCTTTTTTGTGCTGAGACCTTAAAGATCAGCTTTTAACCTAGAGTGGGTTTTTGTGGGTGAGTTATAAGCATCCAAGAACTGAACCTGACAGTTCCTTAAGTATTGTCACAGCAGTAGATGGTGCTTCAGTAATTTCAGCACATTTCAGCTTCTGTTGAACACTATGCCTTAAGCATGATGAGATTTGATTTTTATCTGGCACACAAAACAAATGGAAGTACAGAGGTTGCAAATTCATGATGAATTGAGTCCATGAAACCAGTCACACTGCATAATCTATGAAGGATGCTTTCAGAATGACAATCACAAAAATGGATTAGCCCTTCTGCCAGATAATTGCTCAACTTTCATTTCTCATTCCTTGCATATGCACAAGCTGTATAGCTTTTTATATATCAACATTTTTGCAATAATATAGAATGATACAGAGAAGTTTATGTGCAGTGACCTACATTATGTGACTGAATCATCACAGAAATCTCGCGTGGTAGATATGGAGAGTTTTATTACTGTCAGAGAAAGGATGTGATTTACCCAATGTTTTATGGAAAGTGGGTAAAATTAGGACCCAATACCAGTGGCATTAGAAGGAGATGTGTTAAAAATGCTCAAGTCAACTGGACATTTAGTAACTTTCAGTTCCTCTGGTGTGTGTGAAGTGATCATATTTGTGGATTTTTTTTAGATGCGAGATGTAATTGGGGCAGCTACAGCCAATCAGAACAACTTCCAGGTTTGCATGGATCGTACCATTGCCTACATGAACAATTACTGCATTCCTCTAAGTGTGCAGAATCGAGTTCGGACTTGGTTTGAATACACATGGGACTCTCAGAGAATGCTAGGTAAGCATGGCAGATTACTGATTAAATTCCTATGTGTCATATAATGAAAATCATGTAAGGTAAAAGGTGAAACGAATTGGATTTCAACAAAAAATTAAAAACAATTAAATGATCATTAAAGAATTAATACAAAAGTGATTTTTTGTCTTAAATATGTACCCATATTTTGTTGGTAAGACAAATCTTGGAAGAGAAAGTTCAAATTCTATTCAGTAGGTATTACACACTTTGCCTCACCAAAAAAAAAAGAAAGAAAAATTAAGTGTTACCAACCCCTTTTAAGAGACAAGGAGACAGCAGAGGCTCCTAACTGAAAAATTTGCTCAAAGGTACAGAATCAGCCAACTTGAACTAAAACCTGCATCTGTTCTCTAAACTCTTACTCATTCTGTGACATCACCTTCTTCCTGACACCATAGTAAAGAATATCATACTTTCAGACTACACTCTTCCAGTGCAGAATACACAGTTGGTTCTCAGAGACTCTTAATAACTAATAGTGTCTACCAGTAGTAGATACTGGACTTAAAAATATTTTTATTAAGGGACATAAAATAGGTTGAAGATAAAGTTCAACTTTTTGTTTAGTGTATAAAAATAAGAATTAGTGACACTGGAAGTCAAAATTAAAAAAAAGTTACTGCTTCCAGGAGAAAAAATGAGATTCTCAAATCACAAATATTCCTAAGAGCAGAAAGGATGCATTGGTCATTGAAAAGTGGATCTTTCTTTCACCTTTCTACCACTCATAAGAGACTCCAGCCTCATATCTGGAACCTCCTCCTGAATGACTATAAAGCAGCATGCTTCTCTCTTTAGCATGTGTAGCCACCTCTGAGGGCAGTTCAAGTGAGAAAGAAGCAACCCAGAGTGATGCCTCACCCACCTCTCCTTTTAGCAGCTGTGGGTACCAATCCTACTCCATGGCTTAGGAAGTAACTAGAGACAAACAGCCCTCAGAAACAAAAAGCTACACTTTTGTATGGAGGATGTTTATATTTAGAATTTATATTGGAATCAAAAATAGGGATCTAATGGACTAATTTTTCTCTTTTCTCAATAGAAATAAGAAAACATCCAAAATAATCAACCCTCATAAACCCTGGGCATACTAGTCATCAAGAATAGGCAGTTTTGTTTATGAACTGTTTTGTCAGTCGGAAGGCCCCATTTAATTCACATGTAGAAAAATCTGTAGTGCATTCAGATTTTTTATTGAGTTAATAAGCAACTAAATAACAATAATTTGAGTTTACTCACTTAGCACTTTTCTTCTTTAGATTCCATTCCCAGCTGAGCCACCTACTAATTATGCACAATTCAGCAAGTCACTTACAGCTTCTCTGGGTTTCAGTTCTTTTGTTTTTCTTTTTTCTGCAAAGCAGGAATGAGAACACTTACCCTTAGGGTTGTCACAAGGGTCAAATAAGATAATGGGCATGACAGAGCTCTGTGAGCTTTCAAACACCACCTGCCGCTTATTATTATTTGCCATCCCTAAGATGTTAGGCCTGGAACCAAGACAGGCAGAAAACAAGAATTATATCCTTTTTTGCACCCTCGCTTGTTCACTAGCCTTCGTCTCATGATCATAAGATTTCATATGTAAAGTTTGAGCAAGCACAATTCTCTGGAATTATTCATTATGTCATTCATAGTTAAACCTTCTTTTCTCAGAAGAAATTCAAATGGCCAAAAAATGCATGAAAAAATGCTTATCATCTCTAGCCATAAAGGAAATGCAAATCAAAACCACACTAAGATTCCACCTCACCCCTATTAGAATAGCCCTCATCAAAAACACCACCAACAACATGTGTTGGCGAGGATGTGGGGAAAAAGGAACCCTAATCCACTGCTGGTGGGAATGCAAGCTGGTGCAACCACTCTGCAAAAAAACTTGGAGACTTCTTAAAAATCTAAACATAGATCTGCCATATGATCCAGCAATCTCACTCCTGGGGATATACCCAAAGGAATGCAACACCGGTTGCTCCAGAGGCACCTGCACACCCATGTTTATTGCAGTGCTATTCACAATAGCCAAGTTATGGAAATAGCCAAGATGCCCCACTACTGATGAACAGATCAAGAAAATGGGGTATTTATACACAATGGAATTTTAGCCATGAAGAAGAATGAAATCTTATCATCTGCAAGTTAATAGTTGGAACTAGAGAACATCATTCAACCAGGCTCAGAAGACCAAAAATCATATATTCTCCCTCATATGCGGACTTTAGATCTAGGGCAAATGCAGCAATGTAGTTGGACTTGGATCACATGACAAGGGGAGAGCACATACAGGAGATACTGGAATAGGTAGTAAACCCAAAACATGAAAGCATTTGATGTTCCCACTCCAGAGGAACTAATACAGAAACCTTAAAGCAACAGAGGTCAACATGAGAAGGGGATCAGGAACCAGTGTAAAGATCAGTTAAAGATGAATCAACTTGGATTATTGCACATTTGTACATGAAAGCAATGCTAGGAATCTCTCTGTATAGCTATCCTTAACTAGCAAAAATGCTTTGTCTTCCTTATTATGCTTATGTTTTCTATTCCACAAAATTAGAGATAAGGGCAGAACAGGTTTTGCCTGGAAGCAAGGGAGGGAGGGAGGGAGAGGGTGGGGGAGGGGGGCAGGGTGGAGAAATGACCCAAACAATGTATGCACATGTGAATAAATTAATTTTTAAAAAAACTTCTCTGATGAGCATAATAATATTGTTGTGACAGGTATCTAGATCCAATAGATGGAATGAAAAATCAGAATTTTATCATCCATTTATTTATAAAATGTTTACATTTTTTCTTTTAATTTTTTTCTACTTATACTTTGGTGGTTATTTCACTGATTATTCTGCTCTGAGGTTGATATGTTTATCTTTACAAAGATGAGTCTGACTTGCTTGAGAACCTGCCAACTACCATGCAGTTATACCTCGCCATTGATATGAACTTCAAGATCATCAGCAAAGTCGATTTGTTCAAGGCAAGTGCTTTTACAATTAATAGAAAAACATATCAATTTCTTTGCAAAAATCTTTCCCAGAATTTATGATTTTTTTAATGTTTGAACAAAGTCAGAGTAACCTGGAAAATTTGTGAGAGTCAAATAAATTACAGGTCTCTCCTGCACAGATGACTTACTCTTCGGAATCCTTTCTCTTCTAATTGGTGTCAAAGAAGAATAGTTCTTCAGACGCTTCTTGCATTAATTTAAATATAATTAAAAACTCTATAGCTCTATGTCTTTGCTAGTATGCGCATCTACTTATGTACTTTGGCAATGTATGATGAGTCAGGCCTTGGATTAGCCCTGGATTGGCCTGACAATTGGAAAATCATGTAATACAAGGTTATATGCTTAATCATGTATCTATCACAAATGCTTTGGACATAGACTTTTAAGATGGTCAAATTTAAGTTTATGAAGATTTTTCATTTTCAGAAAAAAATGTATAACAAAGAGATTTTTTAAAATACTTTTAAATATTTTTATTTTATTTATTTTTTATTTATTCATATGTGCATACATTATTTGGGTCATTGCTCCCCCTGCTCCTCACCCCCTCCTCTACCCTCTCCCTTTCTCCCCACCCCCTCTCACTTTATAACAAAGAAATTTTAACCTTAGAATGCTTTTAATTTTACTACTCCCTTCATTATGTATTATGCTGCATAAAAGTTTGTCTTGTCTAAGACTTAATTTAGTGTGAGGCATTCACTGATTCATTTATTTAATTAATTCATTCAACAAATACTTATTAAGTTCCTACTCTGCATCAAACACCACTTTAACCACTGGAAATACATCAGTTGAAAACTAACATATGTGTGGAAATTTAGTTACAGAATAGGGAAGAGAAAAATAATATATAATGTGAAGAGGGAATAAAACCATGATGTTCATGGTTAAAATCAAACAGGTTAAAGTGAATGAGGATAGTGATAGTCACGAAAGGCCTCTCTGATGAAGTGCATTTGAGCAGAGGTCTACAGGAAGCAGGGCAGTGACCTCTCCAGATACTAAGGGAGGAAAGAAAAGGTTGGGAAGTAGGGAGAATACTACAGAGATGGAGAAGATGAAACTCTGAGCTGGGAACTCATCAAGGAGACCAAAGGGACTGGAGCAAAGTTAGAGTGATAGAAAATAAGAGAAGTCAGAGAAAAGTAGTAAAAGGTGAGGCCATAAGAAAGATCAGGTTAATGGAGGAACTTGGAGGCTATTGTATAAAGTGTGCATTGGAATGTGTTCTGAGATGCAAAGACACTGAAGACCTTGAGCAGGAAATAATATATTTGAGATCAGTTTCAGAGGGATCATCTTTCCTGAAGGGTGGAGAATCTATCTTAGGAAACAAATGTGGACAGCAAAAAGGCCAAATGGATGTTACCATGACCATCTACAGAAGAGATGATGATGATTGGGTCCAGAGGAGTGGGAGCAGAATCATTGAGAAGGGGCCAAATATTGAGTGTGTTCAAAGGATAAGCCTACAGTTTTCGATGTTTGATTGTGTTAAAAGGGTAAGAGACAGAAAAGGACAAGAATGATGCCAACAATTTAGACCTAAGGAATAGAGGAGGAAAGATATTTACAAAATAAAAAAGTTTGGAGTAAAGAAGGGGGTTAGAAACCAACTCTTATGCTTTGAAAGATGGTATTCCCTCCAAAATTCATGTTGAAATTCAATCCTCAAAGCACCAGAATTAAGAGATACGGCCTTTAGGTAGTGATTAAGTCATAAAGACTGCTCTCGTGAATGTGAGTAGCACCTTCATAAAAAGACTCAGATACCTTAAAACCAACTGAGGCCAATAGGAAAAGGGGACCAGGAACTAGAGAAAAGGTGAGATCAAAAAGAATTAACCTAGAAGGTAACACCCATGCACAGGAAATCAATGTGAGTCAACTCTCAGTATAGCTATCCTTATCTCAACCAGCAAAACCCCTTGTTCCTTCCTATTATTGCTTCTACTCTCTCTACAACAAAATTAGAAATAAGGGCAAAATAGTTTCTGCTGGGTATTGAGGGGGTAGGGGGGAGAGGGAGGAGGTGGAGTGGGTGGTAAGGGAGGGGGTGGGGCAGGGGGGTGAAATGACCCAAGCCTTGTATGCACATATGAATAATAAAAGAAAAAAGAATAAAAAAAAAATAAAAGGACAATAAAAAAGAATAAAAAAAAAAAAGACTCAGTTAAAAGAACGCTGTTTTGCCATGTGAGAACACACTGTTCCTCCCCTCCAGAAGCCGTCTTGGAAAACAGAGCAGCACTTACCAGACACCAAACCTGCTGGCTGGCACCTTGACATTAGACTTCTCAGCTGTCAGAACTATAAGAAACAAATTTTTATGATTTATAAATTACTGGTCTATGGCATTTTATTAGAGCAGCACAAAGTAGATACCTTAGTTTGCCATGATTGCTAAAAACATTCACATAGAAATGTCATGTAGGCAATTTGACTTATATATCTGTGTTCTAAGAAGATGAATGTGGACATATCAGCATGTTAATGTCTTTTAAGCCACAGCACTCGGTGTGATCACCTAGTATGCAAGTGTAGACAGAATAGGAAATGTAATCCATGAAGCATGTGCCTTGAAAATACATAATGACAAAAAGGGCATGGTTGGCTCGAGTTTGTAATCATGGCTACACTGGGGCTGTGGCTCAAGTGGTAGAGAGCCTGTCTAGCAGGCTCAAGACCCTGTGTTCTAACTAAAGTACCATCAAAAATACATACTCACTACCACTGGAGACAAGATGAAGAAGCAAGAGCATATTGTAGAAAAGTTAGGCAGAATCACACCCAATATTAGGTTAACTGATAACTCTATAGGATACTAGAATCAGATCAATATCCTAGGCCTCCTCTTGATTTTTTTTATTTTATTATTCATATGTGCATACAAGGCTTGGGTCATTTCTCCCCCCTGCCCCCACCCCCTCCCTTACCACCCACACCACTCCCTCCCTCTTCCCCCTATCCCTTCAGTACCCAGCAGAAACTATTTTGCACTTATTTCTAATTTTGTTGTAGAGAGAGTATAAGCCATAATAGGAAGGAACAAGGGGTTTTGCTGGTTGAGATAAGGATAGCTATACAAGGCATTGACTCACATTGATTTCCTGTGCGTGGGTGTTACCTTCTAGGTTAATTCTTTTTGATCTACCTTTTTCTCTAGTTCCTGGTCCCCTTTTCCTATTGGCCTCAGTTGCTTTTAAGGTATCTGCTTTAGTTTCTCTGTGTTAAGGGCAACAAGTGCTAGCTAATTTTTTAGGTGTCTTACCTATCCTCACCCCTCCCTTGTGTGCTCTCGCTTTTATCATGTGCTCAAAGTCCAATCCCATTGTTGTGTTTGCCCTTGATCTAGTGTCCACATATGAGGGAGAACATACGAATTTTTGGTCTTTTGGGCCAAGCTAACCTCACTCAGAATGATGTTCTCCAATTCCATCCATTCACCAGCAAATGATAACATTTCATTCCTCTTCATGGCTGCATAAAATTCCATGTGTATAGATACCACATTTTCTTAATCCATTTGTCGGTGGTGGGGCATCTTGGCTGTTTCCATAACTTGGCTATTGTGAATAGTGCCGCAATAAACATGGGTGTGCAGGTGCCTCTGGAGTAACCTGTGTCACAGTCTTTGGGGTATATCCCCAAGAGTGGTATTGTTTGGATCAAATGGTAGATCGATGTCTAGCTTTTTAAGTAGCCTCCAAATTTTTTTCCAGAGTGGTTGTACTAGTTTACATTCCCACCAACAGTGTACGAGGGTTCCTTTTTCCCCGCATCTTCGCCAACACCTGTTGTTGGTGGTGTTGCTAATGATGGCTATTCTAACAGGGGTGAGGTGGAATCTTAGCGTGGTTTTAATTTGCATTTCCTTTATTGCTAGAGATGGTGAGCATTTTTTCATGTGTTTTCTGGCCATTTGAATTTCTTCTTTTGAGAAAGTTCTGTTTAGTTCACTTGCCCATTTCTTTATTGGTTCATTAGTTTTGGGAGAATTTAGTTTTTTAAGTTCCCTGTATATTCTGGTTATCAGTCCTTTGTCTGATGTATAGCTGGCAAATATTTTCTCCCACTCTGTGGGTGTTCTCTTCAGTTTAGAGACCATTTCTTTTGACGAACAGAAGCTTTTTAGCTTTATGAGGTCCCATTTATCTATGCTATCTCTTAGTTGCTGTGCTGCTCCTCCTCTTGATTATGTTGTGGTCTAGATTTCCATCAAGAGTTTGATAGAAATATAAAAGATGTCATACTCAAATTGGCAGGTGACACAAAGCAAAAAAGAATAATTTAAAATGTGTTAATTATAATTTTTTAAGATAAATGTTTAAAACAATGAAGAAAACCAACAAGATTAACTGCAGCAAGTATAAAAGTAAAATTCTGAACTTACATCTATGACAGAAATTTGGGAGTTTTGTTCCTTTCTAGTAGAGGTGGACTATTGCATGCATTTGTCACAATTGATCCAATTGTCCCTTATGTCTTTATATCACTGTATATAAATTATGTTTCTATTTTAAAAGAAGAGTGGCCTCCAAAGAAAATGTCTAGATGCTGAGGAAGTTGAGTTGTGGGGAAAAAATACATTGAAGGGCAGCAGAAGTTTAATGTACCAAGGTTTGTTATATGGACAAGAAATGAGACAGTGTACATTGGTCAGCAAAACAACATTAAGCTATGACCCCATTTCTAAGGTGTGGACACTTGTAATGTGCGCAAAAAGTTTTCCAGTCTTCTATCAGGGAGAGTGTGAAAGGGGTTCCTGCTTTGGTTAGCAAGGTCATGTATGTAAATGAATCTCACAATGCAGCTTGCCATCCATCAAATTCATTAAGTAAGTCACAACCAGCATATAAGATTGGAAAGTATCAGAACACCTCACACATAGGAAAGGGTATTACCAAAAAAAATTCAGTTATTTATTTTTAAATATACATATACATAATTATCTGTATACTGGG